TTGATGGCACGTGCCAGTTCTGTGGTGAGGTGGCTGACACCTTTCACATCGTCTGGGCGTGCCAGTCTAATCCATCTATCCCCCCCAACCCCAATCCCACGAAAGAGGACTGGGAGGCGGCCCTGCTCGACTGTCAAGACCTGAAGGCCCAAGAGGCTCTGGTTCAACGTGCGCGGGCGGCGTTGCTTGCCAATGGAGCCCCGGAATAGGGGTTCCACCTAGTGCTCTGAGGGTAGGAGGCCAATAAGGCCCCAACCCAATCACCTCTCTGTAACCATTTAATGGGTATTAAATGTTTTCACCCCCCCCCCCATTCATAGTTATGCCTTCCTTGTCTCCTCGGCTTTGCCCCCTCAACTTCTTGAAGCAACCGGTCGTCGCTGGTGACCACATCGCACTCGACGAGTTGTGCTGTGGTCGGATGAAGTGCGTGTATAGTGGTTGAAATGTGCTCCGCCAAGTTCCGCCACACTACCAGCCGTTCTTATCTTATTCTCCAGTATGACGACAATCTGCAACTGCACAAGGACAAACAAAAAGTATTTGAGGATGATCAACAATCAGAGTAGACTCAACCTATGCTAATTGAGGTTGTGTCTTCAGGAGTAAAGCTATACAGATGCAGATCCTCGTATCCTTGCGTTATTCCGATTTTCACTGCAGCGATGAGCTGAAGCCACTCCGCCCGACAGATGCCTTACAAGCCTTACAGGATGCCGCAGTTTTGCAAGTCACCAAGCGCTAGATTTGCCGCACGCTACTCGGTGGCTAGGGTCAACCTTACGTCAAGTTCAAGCACGTTATCAAACAGGCAGATGGCACTCGCTGTTTACCGGAGGTTTAGTGATGCAGACTGGACTCATTTATTCAGACTGGTCGCCTGTATTACGTGACGCGGAACAATGCTACGTATAACAAATGCGAGAAGTGGGAAAACCGTTCGGCTGAGCTGCTGCTATTATTAAGAAATCAAGTTTCGTAATAAACCGCAGAGTTGACACCGGGAGCTCAAGTCTGGCTTCAAACTATTCTAAGAGTTTGTTTCATCGGCTGGATGCGTCTGTGCAATATCGTCGAAAGCATCTCAGGGTCGCTGTAAAGAATACCAGATGGTGAAAAAATTCCGGAGCCCTCCACTGTGGTGTACCTATAATATTGTCATTATTACTACCCGATGCCTGTTATTCAGGCCTTCCAGAATGCCTGGTCAGTTGTCTAGTTAATTATGCGCAGGCAGTATGTTACTCGTTACTGATATGCACCGTTGAAACCGTGTACCATAATCTTTTTTTTGTTTGAGGGTAACCGTATTTTCTATATTCGCATAAATTTTTTGTATTGTACGTTAGGGTTATACTATATTTGGCTTCTTTTGACCCAGCGTATCACAAATGAGTTACAATAGTTATTATAACATCGCTTTGGAACGTAATTCGTTGTGTAAGTATTGAAGCAAATTGATTGGAGTCAACAGAGTAAAGTACTGAGCTGAACGAATGCCATGTAAATAAACGTTGACGTTTACACCCTGAACGAAGCTTCCATCGGCGGACATACATGTACATTCGTACTGGACGACGATGCCACGAGGGGAGGATCGCGTCTGAAAGTTTCCGCAAACTTTCATTAGCGTTCGCTCGGCGGCCGAGCACGTTACGTCTGTTGCAGCTCCGAAAAGAACTCTCCAGTCTTAATTTAAAATCCGAGAAGTGCTTCCACATTGAGAACTCACGTCATTTACTTGCAAGGCCGTCTGTGGTATCACAACGATTCGCCTGGTCTGCAGCGGCGGCGTGACCTCGCGTTGGCAGCGATAGAAAGAGATACGGACAGGCGTGTCACAAGAGAAGCACCGTAATAGCGGGCGCACGTAAGTAACAAGCGTGTACGTTAAGTGCAGACTAGGCTTGGTGTAGCCGCGCCCTTTTCTGTATGGTAACACGTGTGTGCGTGGCGCGACTGGGGTGACGGGCGACGAGACTCTCGTCGGCAGAAATGCCAAGGACGGAATCACGCGTTCCTGAGGTCGTGGCGAACGCACTCGTTTTCGCTCGCTCGCGTGCCGGCTGTATGCCATCATCACGCTCCGGCGAGCTTTCGAGGCGGCCATCGAGATTCCTAGCGCGCCAACCAATCGGGCTGCCCGTCCTTCACGCACCCGCGCCACTGATGACTCGGTGGTCATCCGTTTTATTTTTTTCTATATCGTAGCTATTCTCTAGTGTAAACGCACTCGGTGTTTACTGTAGAAGAATTCGTTCGGGAGGAATGGGTGAGGTGTAATGCTCCTACGCCGTCACTTTGGTGCTCTTGAAAAATAAAGAGAGTACACACCACACAGAGACAAAAGCAAAGAAACAGATAAAAGAAGACAAGTAAGCTGCAGCATTTCGCGATTACGCGGCAGCAGTGATGTGTCATGCAAAGGATGAAAAAGAAATGTAACCTTTGCAGACACGTCGCTTTCATGGAAGACACTAAAGTACCTCATGCACGAAGAGTCTTCGTCTACACTCACTCTCTCTCACTCACTTGCTCACTTCACTTAACACGGGCGACAAACATCAGTCAGGATCGTACGCCAAACACCAAGCGCATGCAGCAAACCAGACAAGAGGACGCAAGTCGCAGCAAGAAGACACCTGCTGCTGAAATCGGAAATTGAAGGGAGCATGCGCTAAATTCAAAAGGGGTTCTCTGAACTGATATTTCGAATTCATTTGCGTGGTGTGGGACTGGACATGGTTGGAGATACTGTGTCACTCCCAGGTCTTGTGCCAAACGGCTTCGCTGGTTATGTAACTTCAGAAGTGGCTGAGTGGCTTCTCATCATTTAGTAGGTCATGCAGTTGTAGTCTATACCGGGAAAGCTGATGGCTCTCCAACAGTAGAGTGCATATGGTGACCTAAAGCATTGACAATTAATTGTAAACACATTTGTTTTGTTGGCACACTTTCCTTGTATGCTTGTTTCTTGCATAACTCTTAACGACAGCCAACTTAACAAAACGCCGGCCGTCAGTGATAGGTCTTCACCTGGTGAAATCCTAGTTGATGTTCTTCCGATTTTATTTTCTCATGTCGTTGTATTCGGGCATAGAAAGAAAAGCGAGTATTGAAGTTCACTAACTCTCTCGCCGCTCTAATATGATTTAGCGCAGAAGAACGCTTTGAAGAAGACTGATTGCAGTTTCTCGTAAAAAAAAAAAAAAACGGGAGGGGGGTGAGAGGGGGTCTTATGAGCTCTACGGAAAAGGGTGCGGTGCGACAAACCGTAAAAACACGATGGACTCGGTCGGTGCCTCAAGATTTGCGCGCACGTCCGTGATTAATGGCGACGCGTCTCGGGGGGCCTTCCTGAGACGAGCCTAACGGCGTGTCGTGTTCCCTGATTAAGTGCCCCTTCGCACACCCAGAGGGCTCCACAAAGCACCACGGATTCACCGTTCGTTCAGGCACACACACATACACACACACACACATCTATTCAAATGGTCGTGCATGTATGCGCGTGTGTGGCTTGGTCTATGGGAGTGCGCCGACACTATTCATCACAGCCACTTCGGCCGTTCGTTTTGCCCTCGAACCCGTGGTAGTGCACCGTGTAATAAACACGTTCACACATTGACGCGTGCATGCATGGCGCTTTTTTTTTTCTTTACAGGGTGAGCTGCAGGCTTGAAGGAACGTATAGCAGCCGGGTAGTGCAGCTGAAAGTAATAGTGACATCGATGCGTCAATGAATTCAGAACAGACATCCTTCTGTATGGTTCTTATTCATTTCTTCCTTTCTCGACTTCTTTATTTGTCCATCCACTTTCGTCGGGTGCGAAGCGCATTATCGGGTAAGAGATGTCAAAGCCGATATTTATTACTCGTAGTGACATCTCACCACTGCGCTTTGCGTCACGGTGCCGGCTTTCGCTGTTCCGATGATGTAGCACATGAAAAGTTGTACTTGTTATATTGGTTGGCGCTTCCTGGGCCCCGTGCGTCTTTTAAATATGGTTACCAGTGGTAAAAAAAACAGAGTACACAATTATCTGTTATGATGCGATTTCGAGCGCAACGCGCTTACAGAAGTGGTTGTTCAGAAAAAAAAAAGCAAACAACCAACCACAAACACAAGAAAAGCTCGAACATTTTCATTCAATAGAGCAAGCGCTACCAACGGGGACAGGTATATTTTAAGGCGTAAGAACTAAGTCCATTGAGTGAATTTTTTTCAAACTCAGCCTAATGAGGAAGAAGGCTCCAATGTGCCTTGATTTTGTTAAATCTCAAGGACTCCAGGTCGCAATTGCAAAGTAGAGGCTGTTCTGTGACAATTTTTCTGACCCAAACGTTGATGTGTTATAAGCAATGAATCAAATCAATCAATCAATCAATCAAAGGTATACCCTCTTGCAGCTCAACAAAACCTTTGCCGGTCACATTAAGATCTTTCACTTGGGATTACACTCAGGGTTGACTCTTTCGGAGCCCACTATGCAGGTAGCATGGCTGGCCTACAAATGTGAAAACGCTCCTATTATGGGTTTTATTAGTCATATGTACGCTTCTTTGGTTTATAAGATTTTTCTGTACATCAGTAAGAGAAGTTGGCAAGGCCGCTAATAATGTCCAACGTGACGACCAACTGGCATCCATCATATGGTTACGATAGACGCCGGGTTGCAGGGCTCCTGAAATATCAACCATCTGGTTTCTTTAACGGACCACCGACATGGTACAATACACGGGCTTCTAACCATTCCGCCTCCATTCAAATGCGACCGCCTCGCGTTCGGGATCGAATCCGCGGCCTTCGCTTCACCAGCCAAGCTCCGTAGCCACTGTGCTACCGAGGTGGGCCCCTTGCAAGAAGAGTGACCGTGCGGGCTCTTTCTGTTGATTATGAGGGCTGGCTTCGAATTTCGCTCGGCTCGCTATTTTCGTGTGTACGGTTCAAGGAATTGCCGCCTGAACTCTTGCCTTCTTTTGCATTTCAATTCTCTCAGGTTCACCGCAAAAAGAGGGTCGTGGCCCGGGTCCGCTGCGAGAACATCAAGAACGACTGCCCCAAGCCGACATGCGATGACCCGGTGCTCCTTCCCGAGAGATGCTGCAAGACCTGCCCGGGAGAGGGTGAGTGGTTAGCAGCTTGTAAAGATACGCCGTTGCTTCGCTTGTCTCGTTGCTTGTTGCTTGAAGTAAAAGCAATGAGTATCTCCTATAACAATGTTTTGATAAGCATCCCAGAGGCAGGCGCCAAAAGAGGGAGATACGTGAGGGCCGTTCTACGCGCTTCCCGCACAGCCGCAACGCACGTGCCGGGACCCCTACCGCACGCAAGCGGGGCACAAATAAGCCAATTGGCGATGCCTGGCAATGCTGCGGAGGGTTAAAGAGCGTCGCCAATTGGATTATTTGTCCCCCGCTTGCGTGCATGCGGTAGGGGTCTCGGCACGTGCGTTGCGGCTGTGCGGGAAGCGCGCGGAACGGCCCTAAAGGTCCTAGATGTTTAGAGGTGTGGCCTCCCCTCCTCTTCCCCCGTCCGAAATATTGTCGCCCCCCTCCCTATTCCTTGGCATTATCGGGCTGGCCTGACCGCTTGTGCTTTCCGAGTGCGTGCGCTTGAGCTCAGCCTCTTTCCCACGGCACGGGCACCATCCTGCAGCTGCAGGCGGCAGAGTTGCCTCGCAGCTTGTGAAACTATAGAGAGAGCCCATGTAGGACTGTGTTATTTCAGAAAGCGACACACGTAATTAAAGTAAATTGAAAGAGAGAAAGAGAGAGAGAGAAGGGTGGGGATCCTGAAACGGAATACAGCGTCACTTCGCTGTGGCAGAGCCAGGCGAGATACACCGGGGAAAATGGCAGACTGGTAATAAAGCGAACGTTAAGTACTTTGTGGTGTTGGCTTCAGCGTCTATTTAATGGATTCCCCCGTCCGCTGCCGCGAAGCATACGAATACCGCTAAAACCGCCAAAAGCGTGTCCTCGCGCTTGCCCTGATGGAACGACGGCCGCAGTGCTTTGAATGCCCCTCGATGATGTGTGCCTCGCGTGCGTCGGCGACCGCGTGTTGCGAAAATGCTTTAGCGATGAACGCTCGAAGCGCGTTATAAGCGGCGCTTTGGAGCGTGCGTTTATCTTGGCGCTGCTGGCTTCCTTTCTTTTTTTTCTTGTTACTTTTCTTTACGTTGACGTTGTTGGAGACCCCATTTCAGTCTTCGTCATGGTAACTGCGGCGTTTATAGTGCGGCTGCGATTGCTTATGGACATTCCTGCAATTTAACCCGGTTTATCCATTGTGCGATGGAAGACAACGCTTATGCAAGAAATTCCTCAGCACGGGCGAGGGGGAAGTTTTATCTCAGCGCCCCCTCTATTATTTATTTATTTATTTATTTATTTATTTATTTATTTAAGTACTCTCAATATCATTGCGGCGTTACAGAGAGGAGTGGTGTTAGGAATTCAAGATGGCAGTCTTGAACGGTCTGCATTATCAGGGTTGCTGCCGATTGATGTAGGGAGATGATTCCATTCATATGATTGGCTGGCCGAGGAAGAAATAAAAAGTAAACTAAATAAAAATAATTCGGCAGATTCCACGTACCTAGGGAATCAGCCTTATGCGAAGCATGCGGAGGGGAGGAGACCATGTTGTAATTTTTTTACTGAGTGACACGTCATGAAATGACGCTTAATATATGTATAAATGTTAGACGCACAGACATGCTGATTGATGGGTGGGTTTAACGTCCCATAAAACCACCATATGATTATGAGAGACGCCGTACTGGAGGGCTGGGGTTCTTCAACGTGCACCCGAATCTGAGTACACGGACCTACAGCATTTTCGCCTCCATCGAAAATGCAGCCGCCACAGCCGGGATTCAATCCCGCGACCTGCGGGTCAGCAGCCGAGTACCTTAGCCACCAGACCACCGCGGCGGGGCCCAGAGACATATGTTGAGCAGTTGCATATGTTTATGTAAGCAGTTGTTTGTACTTGAGCAACGATACCAACAGGAACATGAGTATTAGCAACACCAGAAGTGATAAGCGATATGAAGCGCTGGTGCTCGTGAGGGTGGTAGCCGTGACACTGCTACATAAATCAAATTCAGTGCACGGCGTCCAACCTCAATTGACGTTAACCCTACGTGACGGCTCTATCAAAAGAATACATATGTAAAAATTATAAAAGCAGATAGCCAGCACTGCAACCACAACTGACGTTTCACGAACATTGGGGTCTATAGTATACTTTAAAAGGAGTTCTGAGGCCTGGCATGGTTCTGTGGTAGAATGCTTGAATGCCACGGAAAATGCTCTATTTCCGATTCATGCTAGGAACCTGACATTTTCTCCGTGCATTTGTTGGGTCAGCGCTGTCGATGTCCGATTTTTCTTAACGCCCACGCGTTAAGATTTCCCAAGTGTGTCCATGAGTGCCAATATATGGCACATACCCGCCCATGGTTTGTGCAAATGTTTGGCGGGAAGTGTTTGACGACGTACTCGATGGGATTGTGACAATATTAATGTATTGACTAGTGCGTCGAGTTTGTCATACCACCTTACCCTCCCACACTAATTTTGGTTCACGCCAAGGAAAGGGGATAATCACGAGAGCACCCAGACGTAAGTGGCTGGATAGATAGATAGATAGATAGATAGATAGATAGATAGATAGATAGATAGATAGATAGATAGATAGATAGATAGATAGACAGACAGACAGACAGACAGACAGATAGATAGACAGATAGATAGATATATAGATAGATAGACAGACAGACAGACAGACAGACAGACAGACAGACAGACAGACAGACAGACAGACAGACGGACGGACGAACGGACAGACGGACGCCAAAAGCGCTTACAGTACGCAAAGAATTGCTTCGCATTTAATTAAGTGATAGCGTGCTCCTGACTGTCCTCTGCGAACCAAAGGCAGTCTGCAGTGAGGAACACGCCATCGCTTAATTAAATGCGAAGCCTTTCCTTGCGTAAGTGCTTTGGTTCGTGACCAGGTTCAGCCCTGGTTAACCTCCCCACTTTTTTCCTTATTCTTTCGCTCTCTGTCTTTTGGGTGCGAGGATTTTCAGGACCAAAGGTTTGAAGTAAACCGTTGTTGGAATGCAACATTAGAGGTCGGTCCTCTTCTGAAATTTTTCTGAAAAGCTTGCAAAGTCGGCATATCCGTAAGCCTGCACGTCAGTAAACAACGGTGTAGGTCATACTGAATAGAGGGAGGGGGCAAGCTCCCCCCCCTCCCCCACAAATGATTAGGGGAAAACGCCCGGCCAAATCTCGGAACAACGTCGTTAGCTTGTACTAACGACTTCTAAATCTCCTGCAATTACGTTGGGGGGAAGGGAGTTACTTCCGCACGCGACATTTCCGGTGTGTGGGCCACCCCGTCGCCCCGGAAGTCAATTTAGGGAAGGCGAATGACCGATATTTTGTGTCGGGAACGTGAGGCGCTTGGAAACGATGACGACGTTGCAACTGCATGTGTCGTTACACTGTCGGTTGAACTTTGGGCAATGGGCAACCGCCCCGAATGTTAATCGTTGGGGTATATGTTACTTCCCGGACGAACAATGTGCGACAGATATTTGCGTTGGGAATATGAGTTGCGTGGAAGGATGATGATGATGATCTCGTAACTTTCCGCGGTATATTAACCTTGGCTTGTAAACTGTGGACAACGAAGAACTACCCCGGTACGTTAATGGTTCTGGTATGGCTGAGAATAGAAAGTGCTGCTTGAGATAAATTTCGGGTGGTTCCGGTGAGTCCGACGATTAGGCTCGGTTATTAACGTCGCAGACTCGAGTAATCAGTCTCAGTGCCCTCCTAAAAATGAGTCGTCAAATGAATTGTGAACATGTCTGACTTTGTGTGCCCGCCATGGCGCGATGTAATAATAAGGCCGTGGATATGCCAATGCCTAAAGGTAATTGGTGAGCAAATACTAGCTTTTTTTTGTTTCTTACTGCGCGTTTTGTGATTGTCAAGTGCGCACGGCTCATTCCAGTCACTATAGTCGTGAAGCTGAAGTGTACCTTACTTCTCGACATTACTCATATTGACGCTGCACAAAAAACCGAGAAGCATCTGTGTGTGACAAATAAAAAAAGAGAACACGAGGTTTTGCTGAGGCTTTTATTCTTCAATAAGTCTTCTGCGTTCTTTTTCTTAAAAAATCATTTTGTCGATCCCCCCCCCCTCCAAAAAAAGGAACACTTATGTCACAGGTCCCGTTAATTCGGGAGGCGATACCGGGCTAAGTCCAAGGGCCGAAGTATGGGCCCCCCGAACCGCACCACGAAAGCCTGGACAATTAAGAAGTGGTCCTTTTTGGCGCGCCAGCGGACGCCGGCTGTGGCCCAAAGAACAAGTCAGAGACGAGAGTCGATAAACAAAACAAAATTATATTCTCAATAATGGCAGATCCAAAACAATACACAAGTATGCACACTCCACAATAGTTGAGTACAATATGTCACCAATCAAACAACGTATTACACAGTACAATCAGCCACACTCGAAACAGCAGACACAGACAACAATACGCACTACAATGCAGTCGCATGCATTGAACAACCAAGACACTTAAAGACTGAAGAGATAGAAAACCTATTCAGTCCAAAGTTCGTTTGTGTGGTTTTGAATATTATGAGATAATATTCTTAAAGTGGGGGGCAGTGTCACAAAACGAGCGCTCAAAAACAGGCACGCCGCCAAATTCTCCAAAGTGCGTGTGTGGACACACAGCGACACTCGAACACATGCTCTGGGAGTGTAGAACAACTCCTTCAACTCTACCTCAAGCAAGTGGGAGAGGTCCCTCAGGAGCTCACTTCTCGCCGACCAGCAATGGGCCGTCCAGCAGGCCCACGAAGCGGCCGCCAGGTACTCCCTGTCGGTCCCTACGTGGGAGACGCCCGCTACGCGCTAAGCGCGTCCTGCAGGACCGAAATAAAGTTTTTTCATTCCATTCCATTCCAAAGTTCTTGGAACAAAAGTCTGGATGATACTCTTCCGAGAATCACTCACTCAAAGTCCAGCGTTGTTGTCGTTCTGCTGCCCCCGAAGTTTCTCCTCCAGGAAACCTCTGTCGT